TACAAGGAAACCTTTGCACTGAAAAGGAGTTAAAATAAGTCAGCGGTGGGGGTCAGGTGTAGCTTCCATGTTTCCCAAAATGTACCTGTACACTATCCAAGAAGGGAGAAGGTTTTTGCTCTTCAGAAATCTAATTCAGTAATCTTCAAYCTCACATAGATATTTTATGATCCAGGACATGAAAAAATGCTACTGTTCTCATTTAGCCAAGGAAAAGTAAGCGTTTTATCTGTCTTAAAAACCTGATTCTAGTTTCTGAACATCTAACAGCTTTTACTTGATTTCAATTATACAGTATTTACTAGTTATTGATGCCTTCTAGCATTGAGTATWGCAGAAAATACCTGTGCCATCAGTTTTTAGCAGAAGTGACAGAAATAAGTAGCTGTCTAGTATAAAAAATTTATTTCTTAGGGACCAGCTATTGTATGAATTGGCCAACAAATGTTTCCAAGACAAATAGTAAGGGACCTTCGTAAGTTGCTCAGGACTTTTCTTGCCCTGGAATCCCAACAGGCTTCAAAGGAGAGTGAATGATTTAGGTCATTCCTAGAGAGTTCGTGGAAGTGGACTGAGGAAGTAAAAAACAACAACCCAGAAGATTGCTGCATTATTTTTATGGGAAAAAAAAGAGGTGATCTTTTACCAAGAAAGAGGAAACAAAATCTGTTGGTAAGCCATGTTATGACTGAAAAGGTTTCAAAATTATACATAGCCTGGAGTAACATGACTAAGAAACCTAAACAATATTTGTCTTGATTTGTCCTTTCTTAGTCTCAGCTACCTGCCCTCAGTTTACAGGAGAAATMAGAAAGAGCAGTATTTGGTTCCATRTTTGTTTTTAACACTGAATGGTGATTTTAAGAAATAGTGCAATAGATGCATACAAATTATAATTACCTCTCAGTCCATAGTACTGAAAACATGTTCTGAGCTGTGTTCTTCTGTTTAGCTATAAAAACAAGTATAGTAGTGAYACATGAGTCTTAATCTGATGCAAGWGTATTTTACACCTACATAGCTTTCACTTTTGCACAAATCAAGTTCTTTGTTGAGTCAAATAATTTCTACYTAACATACACCAAATCAAATACTAAACTTTTAGGAGCAGAGACCCTTTGCTGTTAGGTGTATTCATTCTAAAAATCAGATATGGATCATTCAGTTATATGGTAATATAAATAAAGATTGATTCCTATCTGCTTTGTTATTTTCTTTCTTATTCTTAGGTGGTTTCCATTTTTGTCCCAAGSTATAATCCATTCAGAAATTGAGCTGTACCCCCAAGGTAAGATTTATTGTATCTTTATGGATGCTAGAACAATAATTTGTAATTCTTTTCGTCTGAAGAAATCTGGGCAGATTTTACACTGTAAATATCAGAGTTAACAATGTTGCAGCTTCCTTTATTTCTGAGAGAATACGATTTATATAATTGCCGTAGATGATAGTGAGAATGTAATGAGGGAATGAATGAGACAGAGTTTTCTTGTGTTGACTAGAAACACCAAACATGTTTTTTGTCTCTACTTTCAAACCTTTTCTGTAATGTTAAGGGATAGATCCTTTATCAATAGATTTTTCTCTTTTTTGGCAGTTTAAAAAAAATCAGCAGCTGAAAATGCAAGAAGCAAATGGTAAATGCTGCTCTTGTTTTCTGCTTTTAATGAAGACTGTTTCTGTTTCAGAACTAATTGCTTTACACATTTTTGCCATTTGTATTTATTTTAAATTAATTATAGCATACTATTTGAACATTTTAGTAAACTCTGAACTTCACATTTTAATTTAAACAAATAACTTTGTTTATGCTTTCTTTTTATTCTGTCATTTTCTTTTCATAATGTTATTTTTCTCTCTGCTTCTTTGAAAAATTCCTATTCTTCTAGTACTTATTGGTGATCTAKCTTAATTTCAGTTTTTCACAGTTATAATTTTTAAAACATGATTCTTTTTCCTGGTCTATATATAGTTTTGTTCTCAATAGTAGTTTTTCATTTTCTGTTTTACTTGTGATTTCACATTTGTTCAGGTTGATTTTTCTGTCCTTGCAACCAGAGCAGATTAAATTAAATTTCTTAATAACACATTAGTATTTCTCAGCTGTGAGAGGTGCTTTATGGTGTAGGTTGACCAATGTTCTAGAAGATGTTGTGAGAAAGTTTAAAAATGTTTTTTCAAAATTTGTTGTATCAATCAAAATATCCATGGAGACCCAAATACCTTGTCCTAAACCATGTTCCTATGGCAAGTGGTTAATGATAAAATTTTTGCCCAGTTATTTTACAAATTATATTAAAATCCCACCCTGTTATAGGCTTTATTTTTGAATTGCCAGTACCTTTTTCCTTTTTCCTTTCTATGCTTTTTTTAGAAGACACTAATTTCCTCTCTGTTCATCACTCTTTGTGCTTTGGCTGCTCTGCACACCTCGCTTTTGCATGCCCTGCCCTGAGAGACCCTTTCTGTAATTCTAATCAGTCTGCACCTACAGCTGGGTCTCTGGGCTGTGTCACTTAAGCTGTGCAAACGTCTCAATCAGAGTGAGGCAGCCCAAAGTGCWCGAAACAAGAGACCTCTTGTTTGGGACACTCAGTAAAACATGGATCAGTGGCAAAGAGATTTGAAATTGTGTATCYTGTACCTAGAGGGACTGCTCCAATTCCTGATTCAGTGGTTGATCTGAAGTTTCGCTCACTAACATTGTTTTCCCATCAGCTTTTAAATATATCTCATTTTCATTCTGTATCACTTTTTTTTTTGTTAACTGAAAATTTTTTTCTGTGAAGTAGAACTTTCTAGTGTATTGTAATGTTTATAATTATCTAGGAAATAAAAGGAAAAAAAAAGGCTAGAAACTTATCTGTGGCAAAATATCACTTTTTGATGTCCCTAGGGATGTACCTGGTGATAAGTTCTACCTTTCCTCTATGCATGCTAAATGMAAGTCATGTGATAACATATTTATCTGTATTCTTTTCCCCTCAATGTGTTTTCCTCTTCAATCATTAAGGAACTATTGGTACTCTACCTCATCAGAAGAATCCCAGCTTTTTATGCCAACAAGAATTATGATTTTGTAATATTTACTGATTCAACCTCTAATTTGGAAGCATGAAGTGCTATGCAATGAGAATTTCTGGCATCAAAGATACTAGAAATTTAAAGATTTGTTTTCCTGTACCTACAYTGTCTTTCAAACACGAGTCTGTCCTGTTTCCAGAAACAAAGAACAAGTGTCAAAAGTTCACAACAAAACYCTTCTTAATCATGTTTTTGGGGAAGTTTGATTCCTTTTTTTCCTTCAGAGGGGTAGTTTTGTGCAAAATAATTTGTGGATAAGAAGCTTATTCTTGGGAGGTAGGAGCTGAACTAGGTACGATATACAGCCTCAAGTGTAGCAACTGCATCMTTTCAAAACCCCACTGYTTAASACARGACAGACTTTGAGAGGGTAATACAWTGGRAARRGCCATCAAAGACACTTGAGCCACAATTAATCCATGAACCTATCCAAAATAAAATACATTTTATCAGCTTTAAAGTGAATATTTGATTCTGAATGATGTTTGAAATTTTAGAAGGWCTAATGGGTCATATTTTACTCCTTGTCTGCACCTTTCTTCCTTGTMAATGGAATTGTCCTTATATTCCAGTCAAATGGCTCAAAGAAACTTTGTCTTTAGGAAATTAATATTATATTGTTTGAAAATGGAAAAAGTTGAACTTTTTCGTTATCAAGGTCTTTTTCCATGGGGGTAGAGGGCCCTTGCCTTGTGTCCTTTGTTTCCACATCAGTGTATAGAGGCTTTTCACTCTTCTGATTGATGTTTATAGTTTTGTTTTCTGGTGCCATGGTTCATTAATCAAGAAGGTGAGTCTMTAGMGAAAGGTGTGAGGATGCAGATTTTYAAAGGCACAGAAGAGTTTCTTACAAGCTGGAATTTGGCAGTTTGCAAAGAAAATTGGATGCTTTCTTCCYTGTATGGAATTGTAGAATGGTTTGGGTTGGACGAAATCTTTAAAGACATCTAGTATAACCCTTGACATGGATAGGGACATCTTCTACTAGACCAGGTTTCTCAAAACCCCATMCAAACTGGCTTCAATGAATTGCAGAGATGAGAGATTAATAACTTCTTTGGGCAACCTGTTCCAATGCCTTACAATTCTTACAAAAAAAAAATATTCTTCATGCCTTGTCTAAATCTACCCTCTTTCCCTTTAAAACCATTCCCTGTTKTCATATCGCTACATGCTCTTGTAAAAATTCTTTGCTTTTCTTTTAAGCCCCTTGATACATAAAATGGCTGCCAAAAAGCTCTGTCTGGAATCTTCTCTTCTCCAAGCTGAACGCCATCCTTTTATCACAAGAGAGGTGCTCCAGCCCCTGATCATTTTCTTGGCCCCTCTCTGGGTCTGTTTTAACACATCCATATCCTTCCTATGTTGGGGGTCCCAGAGCTGGATACCTTACTCCAGGTGGGCTCTCATCAGAGCAGAGTACAGGGGGAGAATTCCTTCCCTCCATGCATGGGCAGGTTTGATTGGTCAGACCAAATGAGCTGTTGCTGTTTTCTGAATTCCCAGCTGGGTATTTATGTGTATTTAAAATTCTATCACCTTCCCAAACCAGACATCAGCCAGACCTCTAAAGGCTTGGAAAACAGGAAATCAAACTTCCTMCTCCAGTTCAATTTTTGTGGGGGAAATTACTGAGTGATAATGAGGCTGGCCCAAGATAAATACTTCTGTCAGACAACAGGTTTAAATCATGCAGGCATTACCAGACAGCCTTTTACTAAGGAAACTGCAGTGTATGCTATGGCATTTATTTATAAGATGACTGTGGGCTGGTATTTCATTTGCTGTTTGTCTTGAACAGAATGAATTTAAGTCACTAAGTAGAACTTGTTTCACACAGACAAAAGCTGCAATCAATGAGGGGTGGAGAAGCGTGCAATCCCAGCTTTTCAGATGTAGAAATGCATTTTACAATTATGAATTGTTCTTTTTAAAAATAAGATTTATATTAAGCTGCTTTTGAATATTTAAATAACTTGTGTACATTGTACGGGAGCAGAGATGACATTTTAGTGTCAGAGAGCTTTATATAAAATGATTTTCTAATGAGTCCTAATCTAGTTCAGAATTTTCTACAGAACCTTTTTTTTTCCCATGCTGATTTCAATATCATGCCTCCATCCAGGCAAATGAAGCTCTGTTGATCTGTCACATCAACCTAAAATGAGAGGAAATTGTGCTTAAGTGGGATGCCTTGACATTTTTCCTGTTGCATTTCTTGGTTATACTGTTGTCATAATCTGAATTCTGCATGTTGGTCTTCTGTRWTGACCCTYAGGGKTATCACTRCAAATCTCACYGAGYTCTATGTTCATATTTCTGGCTTTARTGCACTGCAAATCTCCTCGATCCTTGATCCATAACTTGCAGAGCATGAGTTTGAATGAGGTAGCTTTTGGCCAATCCTCTACTGCCTCTCCCAGCACCACTGCCTTTCAGGAGTTTGRTAACCACAGTCCTTGGGCCAAACCATGCTTTCATTTGTATCTTTCAAGTGAACTGCTTCATATAAGTAACATTTTAAAAAGCATTTTGATTTTGTTTTTACTTTACAGAAGGAGACTGGAAGATAACTGTAGTCACTGGAGATTTTGAAACAGCTGGCACAACAGCAGAAGTATCCCTTTACACTTMTGGAGAAAACAAAGCTTCTGGTCCTATTGTTTTGGGATCTGGGAAACAGCAGCTGTTTAATCCCAACAGTGAAGACACATTTAAGGTATGATATGGTTGTTTTATAAACACGGGAGAATTCAAAACGTATGCAAAATAGCTTTTCTCAAAACCAGATAATAGAGGTAATAAAAAAGACTCAAACAAAGATGTAAGGATCATTAAGTATTTCTGAGGGAGCGGCTGACTTTTATGGCAGTGAATTTTGAATCTGGAAAAGGGTTCAGAATTGCATCAGGCAGATGTCTCTCAGAATCTGCTTCACAATTGCATCTTCTTGGTGTACTAGTTTATAGTAGATGTTCATGTGAAGAAGTAAAAAGAGCGTTGCATTTATGTATTAAGAGGTTATGGCTTGGTTGCATATCCATCTTTGGAAGGGTTCACTGTAAATTCTTTCATGAACTTCCTCAGACTTCCACACTGTTGTGTGACCTTTTTCTTGGAGAAAGTAAGAGGGAAAGAGGGCATGGCAAGAAACTAGAGGGAAATAACACAGATTAACTTAAGTCTTTGTGATTGAACCTTCTTCTCCAAAGAAATAATTTCTCTCTATTGACAAATCTGTGAGATGTCCTTCAGAAAGATGAAATTTCTCAGGAATTCTACAAGATCCTGTGATTCCTGYCATTTCCTCTAGTTCATGGAGTTCCTCGGGAAGGACTGTACCTGTTGCAGTAGTAAAATCTGTGATTCGTCATTTAGGTTTAAATGATTTATGTATAATAAACAGATGATGGGTATCAGTAAAAGATGGGACAGAAAGTATCTTTTGACACCAAAATTGGCCATGCAGAAACTTTCTACCACAGTTTTTTTTTTTTAAATGAAGTGTTAACTGATGCAGGAAACTGAAAGAGTTCAGCATAATATAATGGAAGTACCATCAGGCTTCACGAAAACATCAAAATACATAAAATCTTCACGAAAACATCAAAAATCTTAAAACCCCTTCAGTCACACATAAACCCATAAGAAATGACAGAGGAATGGCTCACAAAAAGTGAATGAGGCCAAACTGTACTGGATTATCTTGACAAAAATCAAGAATAGTGCTCTGATAGAAAACACAGTTAACTGGATTCCTAAGCACAGTAGTAACTTGGATTCCTAAAAGTATAGATTGAATATTCAGTAAACTTAAAAATAATGAAAAAGTTGTTAAAACTGGAGTAAATCAGCTGGTACTTCTTTGTATTCTCCTGAGATTTCACTGTTCATGTAGAACTTGATTTTGGTGTTGTTTGTATTGCTGTATAAAGCCCRTGTAACTTCATTAACCTTGCCTATCTCTGATTAAGGTTTGTGTGAATGAAATTAAAAACTGCTAARCTCCATTGTAAGGCAGCTATAATGTAACAAGGCTATTACCCTTKGAGATTTCCATATGATGGCAGTACATGAAATTCACTGAAGGCAATTTACAATAATTGTGTGATAGGAAGAGTTCTGGTTTCTGACTGGAGTCSTGGGTTCTAGGTTACCCCAAGACAGTCATGTGGAATCTGCACAATATTTGCCCTTCTGTCTTACCAACTTTTCCTGCCAGATGGGTATGCTAGGGATAAACAATATGGGAACAGGAATAAAACCAGAATTTAAATCTGATGTATTTCCGTTTCTGCTCTGCAATTGTTCTTGTGTGTTCAAAGAAACTACTTCTGGGCTATTGGTTTTGCTTCTGTTACTATTCAGGCATAGTTTTTAGGACATATTTATTTCTGTTGAGAGTCATTCCCCCCCCCAGAAGAGGGATATCAATCTACCATAAGTTACAGCTTTCATCATAGCTCTGATCTGTTTCCTGTGTTTTCTTCTGGTGTCATCACAGTCCCTGAGTATTTCTCACTATTTCAAAAATACCAATTTTGGCAGAATGCTGAGTTGCTCAAGACACTGGAACTTTAATTATATTGTAAATTATATTCTCCGGACCCCTGTATTCGGCATCATCATTCTTTGAAATATGGCGAATTATCTCTTCGGAGTGTACACACTACTTGATAAAGAAATTCTTTTTCAAAGTATTCTTTTAATGTTTGGTCATGCCCAATATTCCCTTCTGTGTCAGAGAACTAAGCAGAAGACTGTAAGCCTATTATCTTCTGTAAAAGCCAGCTGCAATCTCTCAATTTTTATTACTTCCATACATAATAATTCTGTACCTTCGGGTACAAGTTCTGCTGTTCTAATGATAATGAAGTCAGCAAAAGCATTGACGGGCTCAGTAGTTCTGCTTTCAAAATACTGCTTGMCTTAATGATAGTGGCAGGACCTAGAATTTCCTTAACAAGTGTTTTTCCAAGGTTTGCTTGTGAGTTTGCCTCATTATCAGCTCTTCAATCTCTTTAGGGCACTGCCAGTCTTACAAATCTTCACATGTTGTCAATTTTATCTTAAATAACATTATATTTAGCCACTAGAAGTGTTGGAATTTTTCATCAGTAATCTTCAAAATCTTCAATTTAACCTTATATTTTTTGGTTGGCAGCTGTCTTTGTAAGGAAGATAGTTGTTCCATGTTTGCAATACAAAACATGAAGTATGCACGATATTTTAGGAGCATTGGAAAAYGAAATCCATCCCTGGTGTGAATTTTACTGCATGAGCTCACTTTTCTAACTTTTAAAGCTGCTGCCACATCCATTTACATGATTTAGAGGTTTTTCATCTGCATAAACAGTCTTTTAAACATTCCTGTGGTCTAGGGCAAATACCAGAAAGTAATATAGGGAGGTGAAAAGCAAGTGTCCTGCTAATACTTGTAGAGATACTTAATATCATAAAACTTAATAAATAGTTCTCCTACGATTAGACTGTTAAAGTGTAAAATCCAGAAGTTTTCCTCCAGTTACACTTTACTTCTTTTGTAAACAATTGTGTTCATCAGGTGCACTTTCATGCTCTACTGCATCTCAGGAACRTGCTACACTTAGAACTTTATCTGTTGTTTTTCATTTTGGTTTTCTCCTGTTTAAATAAAATTATTAGTAATTTAAAATCACCTACACATGAATAATTAAAACTCCTTTCTTTAGAGTCAACCCTTCAGACTCTAAGAATCTGTGGTGTTTCACTTTTGAGTCTTTCATTCCTGTACATTGGGTGCAGTCATTCTTTCATCAGTCAAAACTGAGATCTCCAAAGTAAAATGAGAAACAGTGAGAAGAAAACTAAATATTGTGAAAATAGGTTGAAACAAATCCATTTTCATGCTTTTGCTCATGATGTTCAAATAAAAGGGGYTGAAATGAGCTCAGTTAGAATCCTTCCAGAGTGGGAAGATTGCAAAAGTGAACATAAGCRCTAATGTAGCTATCCACTCTCTTAACCATGGGACTGACAATGCGTAAAAGCTTTGYGTCCTGCTATTTTCCACCTATCCCTGTTTTCCATAACGACCATTTAGGTCCAGAAATGGTTGAATAAAACTTAGAGAAGCCCAGGYTTTAGTCAGATATGTTTAAGGCAGCATAAAACAGACATACTCATGATTGTTACTCCACTTGCAAACGTCACTGCCTGTGAAATGCATATGATAACAAGATGCACCTCATTCCCTACTGAGATAAAAGGGAAAAGTAAGTAAAATGATCTTCATCAGCTACAGGCTGTGCACGAATCAAAATTTATGCTGTTCCAAGAAAAAACACAGAAGGATTGTAAAGAGCTCACAAAAAATCTTGGAGGGAAACACAGCTCATCTTCAAGAAATGGGAGTGGGGAATGTGGTGCTGTTTGCTCAGTAATTAGGCAATATGTACTGCGTAAGTGTATATATATGTRTATTTATATTTGGGTACTTGCTGTTGGCATAATTTATTAACCCCACAGTAAAAGAAAAGTTCTTTCASAGCTTGAATGGACTGGATTGGAAAAGAAAGTGTTTAACAGTCACTGTGCAGTGAGCAGTATTTATTTATCCAGTCTATTTTTGTGACCAAAGCAAGTATGAAATAGGAAAAAATAATTACAGTCTTTGTATGGCCTTTGACCCTACTCCTTACATGTCTGTATCCATCCTTTTTCATTATATTGTTACATTTCTGTGTGAGCACCTGTGACATGCTGTAATTCTTGAGTTAGTGTGTAACTGAGCCAAGTTTTTGGGCACAATTAACAAATTGGCTGAATTCAGACATCTGGAAAAAGCCAGCAGTATGGGTGGACCCTGGGTACTCTTCTGGCGTAATAGTTATTGTATTTTTGGCAACAGTTATTAGCTGCAGGTTCACAATTAAAAAATGTCATTTACTTCCAAACATTTCTCTATTACATGCCAAAGCTGTGGAAGTTACASTAATGCAGTCAATGATTTTTCTTTCTTTTGGGAATCCAGCTGCTATACATGACTTCTTTGAAATTCTGTTAATGAAATGGTCTTACATGAAATTAATAACTGTCTGTCAAGCGTATTCTCCAGTGTTAGACATTGGGATTTTGGTGCAGCTGCACCTGCACATCTGAAGTGTGGATTTATCTAAATGATTTTCATGCTAGCCCRAGTTTATCTCAAAGAGATTGCAGCATATTTTCTTCACAACAGGAAAGCAGTGATATTATTTTGCTTATTCTAGAGAAATGGAGTCATTACATATATTCTTTCCATCTTTTTATTGAAGTGTCTTTCCACTGAACCCTTTCTTGTTCAGACAAGGAACTTCACTTTTCACTTAGTTAAACATCTTAAGTACATGAGTATAGGTCATACTGACTCCACTCAAAATATCACAGGTATGCTAGGGACCAAAAAGTGTATTTGCTTAGCTCATTTAGAAATGGAATTAAAATTTAGSCCTTGCATCATCTTTAGGAAGAACTTCTTGCTGATAAACCTGGATTTTAATTTACGCTTAGAGACAGATGATAAAATATGAGCTTTGTTAAGCTTTGATTTCAAAAAGTAAGACCAAGGTGTCTAATGAATGATTTAATSAAAATGTTCCCATTGCCTTTGGTAAGAAGATAATTTAGTCCTCTGCTGGTACAAAAAATACATAGTAGTGATGAGCAACATGTACAGGTGTGTTGATTAACAGGGCAGTC